TGCAATATTATTTTGTTGCTCTTTCTAAATAGGAAAAACAAATATTGTTTCTCCTAGGATGTGAATTATCAGCCGAACTATAAACGAGGTGGTACTAGCAGTGGTCGTGCTAATTCAAGAGGTAAGATTTGGACTGTGTTCCATAGTTATTAGATCTTCAAGTATGCTTTGCATTAAGTATGTTTTTTGTTTGAAATAAATATTCTTTCTAACAGATAATGTGGATATCCAGTGATTGACTGAGCTGTTTCCTTTGGAGATAACTGATAAGCATGTATAAGAAGCAAAGGCAAAACAAGAGACAGAGCTCCATGTGCTTATAGATGATCACTTGCTTTATTTCTTATAAATTTAAAACCCCAATGCATTTTGTCCTCAGAGTTGGCCTTCTTCGGGGTTACACTATCTAGGACAGCACAATATTAATTATATTCTTTAAAGCATTATATGCACTTTTGACATGTATACCAGCGTGATTTATATATTAAAAGAATATAACTTATTTTGTGTTGTCGTTGATAATATATTTAATGTAATTATATTTGCATTTTTAAAGCATAGTTCCTGATAGTTGAAGCGCCTGCAAATTCTGATTTTATGGAATGGATGGAAGGAGCTGTCCATCACTGGATGCTCTGCTCTGTGTGAGAAGGAATCTTCATGCCATGTTGATTTTCTTGTTCCCCATAGCCAAGTGTTGTGTGAACATGTTGGTTTGAGGCCCAAATCCAGCTGCTAGTCCAATTAAACTAACTACACTGTGATTTACACAAGTGTTGATTTACCATTCAACAATTGATACTATTTTGAATTAGCAGACTATTTTGAATTAGCAGTGGTTTTTAGGCTGCAGTTCACATAATCTCCATTCAGACTACTAAACAAAGTACAAAAGTTCAGTTGAGTCATGTCACTATATCCAAACTTTTATAACTCCTCAAAGTTTCTGTGTTTTAGATTACAGGCAAGAAAGCAGACAGGAGGAGAATTGTTCATCAGGTAGAACTCAAGGTAGAACCCGTGGTAGAGAATACTTCAGAAGAAGGGGATTGAGAAATACTGAGAGAAATGGAAGAGAAGCAGAGAGTCTGAAAGCAATCTTGTAGCTGCCAGAAAGCATCAATTCAGTTAGTGTTGATTAACAATGCAGTTGATATCAGTACCTTGGTTTTCTACACTAAATAAAACACACATTTTTAAGATGTGTCCTTTCTTGGTACTAAGAACCACACAAACTAATGAGTATTTGTGCTATGACATTTAATAAGTCATCTCAGTTGCTAAGGTAAGAAAGCAGTCACTGCATATGAAATACATTCCTTTTAGTGCAATCCTGCATATGCATATTTAGAAATCCTACTATGTTACTGGATTTGCTTAGTAGTAGAGCTTAAGTTTGTTAGGTCTCTTGTGTGTGGTTAGAAGTCATATTTATGCAATCTTAATCTGAAGGGCAATATATAAGCAACTTTGGAGTAGTTGTAGAGTTATACAAGCACTGGCAAATGTCCAGATAGACCTAACATGCTGTCTCTCTGATAAACCACTGAACAAAAAGCTTTCATAGCAGATTTATATAGTTCTGCATGCAAATGCATCTAAATTTCCACTACTTTTTTTGGTTCAAGATAGTTTTCAATCACTTCAGCACTGAGCTCACTGCAGAAGTGAACCGACCACATAGCCCTCACACATTCACCCTTGACAATACTAGGAGAATGTGGGATAGGAAACATACTACATTTGACAGCAAAACTGAATTTGCAGTGTTGATTTATTTGGCCTTTGTTAGTCAAGAAGTCAGAATGATATTCAGTTCTAGTTTCATCATTTTAAATAGAGGAGAAGCTTTTACAAATTCTAATCAGATGTTGAGCAGATTGGGAGGTCATGGGGACCAAACTTCTGACTAAAGTATGGTGTTTGAAGCTTGGTGGGATGCTTTCTGTCTGTACATAGGCTGTATATGTAGTGACTCAGTAAAAATGGAAGTAGAACAGGGCGTGTGTTGCTTTTGAAAAACACCCACTTATCTGTGAAGGTATGTCTCAACCTTTATTCAGAAGGAAAATTTAATAAGGCTAGAGACAATTCTATAACAGATGTGTACAGTATATAAGCTGAAGATTAATTTTTGACCTAATTTACACATACAAACTTGAGAAAATAAACATGCAGAGTCCAAAATAGTTACTGATTTTTAAGATTATTTCAGAACTAACCATTGCTCATGATTTTCAACAGCAGGCTGGAGCGATTCTTCTCAGGTGAGCAGCCCAGAACGTGACAGTGAGGCCTTTAACAGTGGGGATTCTGGGCAGGGTGATTCCCGCAGCATTACTCCTGTTGATATGCCAGTGACAAGCCAAGCAGCTGCCATCCTACCTGTGCACGTCTATCCCCTTCCACAGCAGATGAGAGTTGCCTTCTCAGCTGCTAGAACTTCTAACTTGGCTCCTGGAACTCTAGATCAGCCCATCGTGTTTGACCTCCTGTTAAACAATCTTGGTGAAACCTTTGATATCCAACTTGGTAGGTTTAACTGTCCTGTCAACGGCACCTATGTGTTCATATTCCATATGCTGAAACTGGCTGTGAATGTTCCACTGTATGTGAACCTCATGAAAAATGAAGAGGTTCTAGTATCTGCATATGCCAATGATGGTGCTCCAGATCACGAGACTGCTAGTAATCATGCAGTCCTGCAGCTTTTCCAAGGAGACCAGATTTGGCTGCGCCTCCATAGAGGAGCTATTTATGGTAGTAGCTGGAAATATTCTACTTTCTCAGGATACCTCCTGTATCAAGACTAAATATTATGTTTACAATAACACTGGTCCAAACAGTTTGGTGAAGGAAGGTGGAAGCTAGGAGAATAGTTTTGCACTGCATACTGACTGCTTAAAACACAACTCTGAAATTTGGGTATGGTGATCTATCTTACAGTGAGATGGAGTTGGGTCAGCACTGATGTGGCACTTTATCAGTTGTGATGTAGCCTTGATGGTAAAGCTGTGAATGTTACATTTGCACTTATTTTTGAACTGTAATTATCAGCTTAGTAAACTCAGAATTCTGTATGGTTCTTTTGCCTCCAGACTAGGCTATCCACAATGCCTTGTGCCTAAATAAAAACATAATAATATGCCTTAGTATCAATGTCTGTACTACTGGAATAAATATGGGTATAAATGATCTTTGATATTGTTCATAGGGAAGAGTTCATACATGTATTGGTATGTAGAAAGCCACAATCTCCAGTTGAAATGGAGGAAGTAGCAGTTGATGGAGATCTCTGCCCTGAAACCCCTGGTCAAATGTGTCTGCTATTCAAAACTAAATAGAGTTTTTTTCCATATAAAAAAGGGATCAAGGCAAGTAGTTGAGATAATTTTTTTTCATAGGCTGTTTCCCCACTATTTTTAGAATTACCAGGAACCACATATTCTTTATGGAAATGCAAGCTCAAACACATAACGTAGCTACTAGAATAAGTAGTGCTTAATGAATTCTAGAAGTATTTCAATTCTTGTTAGAAGTCACTCTCTTCAAATGAGGCCTACACTGTTTTTGGCAGCATTGTTTTTACTGATGATGCTTTTTCTTAATTACCAGTATTACTACTTAAGAGGAAGAAGATCCTTATGGAACTCAGTGATTAGGAAGGTGGTAAGCTTCCTGCACTGATTGTCATTTCGCTGTCCTCTTTTACTGATTGTAAGTTACTGAGATCAGTTTCTCTTTTGGCCTTTCAGCCATTGTATCTTAAGGCCCTAAATATTGGTTTAAGATAGAAGCAATATTCAGTTTTATGATAGGGCATGCTGTTAACACTTGCACATATTGATGTATTGCTCTTTTTAGGACATGACACTTAAGTGATTTGCTCAAACCACTATCCCAAAATCTATTTGGGATTGCCAATATTGTTCATTGTGTAATTGGTAATCACAGTTGATGCTTTTCCTAACATAAGGTATACGTCTTTACTGCATATGCTAGAGAGGCAAATTGAGGCACCAAGAATGTGTGCATATGGGAGAAAGTCTGGCTTCTGTATTGTAGAATAAAAACTGTGTCTCCTTATGCTGTTAAGATCTGAATCAGTCTTTAGAAATGCTTTGCTCTGTCGGTTTTCTGCTTTTCCCCCTCAATACAAGATTTACTTTGTGGACACTTTTTTGTAGGTTTCTTATTTAAGTAGCACTTGCCATTGTATCTATCCTTGCACAGCTGAAACAAATTCCTTTCTCTTTAAGCCTCAAAGTGAAATCCATTTCTGCAAAACTAACTGGGTAGCTTCATATTAGTAGATGCTATTGCTTTTAAGAAACGAGAGAGGGTTAAAGTGTTATCATACATGAGACATAAATCTTCTTGAAACCTTGGTGGTATATTTTAGACTTTTCACTGCAGAAAAGGAATTATGTTAGGACTAATTAGAGAACTCCCTTAGGATGTTAGCATTACATTTCTATACCGCTTATCAGTGCATTCATCAACCAATGTTGGTATAGTTGCGAGTGCAAGCTTGGAAACTAGTCTTTGGTTTCTATTAACTGTTCCAGATGAACTATAGTATATCTTGAGTTCTAGCTAATTTGTAAATAAGCAAGAAACAAACTAATTCAGCCATTTTTCTCTCCTCCCCCCCCTACTCCATATAATGGACAACTATTCACAGAGCAGGCAGATTTTATTGCTGTTTTTAAGAGTACATATTTTAGATTAAAATGGAAGATTTGCTAGTCTCCCATCAGGAACATATTTGATGAACACACTTAAACGTGATCAATTGTAAACTTCAACCTTGTTTAATGTAAATTGGATGGTACGTTAGGGTAACATTGTTAGGAACAGAAACTATCTACTTATAGGTCTACTTCCGTTTGGATTCTGTAATAAAGAAGATTCTTAGGAGCTAAAAAGTCCCATCTGTTTGTATGAGGGTTAATATTCCATTGCTCTGCATTTTACATCTAGTGCCCATCTTTTTGAAAGCCAGCATGACATAGTGGTTTGAGTGCTGGACTGTGATTTTTTGAGACCAGGGTTCAATTCCCAGCTCAGGTATGAAACCAACTGGGTGACCTTGGGCAAATCACATGCTCTCAACCTCAGGGGAAAGCAATGGCATGGCAAACCTCCTCTGAACAAATCTTGCCAAGACAGCACACACATAGAGCAGCCTTGTAGAATGATTAGCACTCAGGAGTGTTATTAATAAGTATGGAGTAGGCAAACTTGGTAGAAATAGTATCCTTAATGCAGAAGCACAAAGTTATGCTGGGAGTTGGTTTTACCATGACAAAATTACTGTGTGGAGGAATGTAAGATGGCTTACGCCCAAAATATATGATGTCTGCTTCTTAATCTCCAGATGAGATATTTCTTTATTATGTTAAATAGTGCTTGGCAGGGTGTGTGTGTGATCATCCCATTTACTTAAAAGGGGAATTGCTACACCTGGAGGCTTTCAGGAGAAAGACTTTTCAGAGAAAAGTCAGGGGAGCACAAAAATGGAAGGTAGGGTTTCATGGAGCACCAGGACTGCACTTTTCCCACCCCATGCTACATTTTTTATTGCTTCAAGAATGGCACTCTATTCTGTTTGCCTCTAAATAATGAAGTTCAGCCTGTATTGGGCTATTCCTATTTCCTTCAAGGCTTTGCAAATTAATCACATTCTACTCCTGCTTTCTCCAGACGTATAGGGCTTTTGGCAACAATGAGTTCCATTTTCTTGTGCCTCCACCTCATCTGGGGTCAGGTCATTCTTGCCTATCTTCCATTTTATGTAGTGTGCAAGAAAAGTAACATCCACTTAATCCTTCCCCCCCCCCCCCCCCCCTTTGGTTGCATGTATATTGGGTTCTTGTCTATCACAGCACCTGGTGGCAGTTTTAAAACAAGCTGGCCCCAGCTTCTTTTCAAGGAAAGTTGTCCTGTTCAGCTTGGAGTTGGAAAACTTGAAGGAGCTATTTCATAGTATGAAATTCACCTGAACAGGGCATCCATCTGTGCAAAGTCCAGAAGCTTTAAAACTTTGCAAGCATAGCTCTGTTTTCACAGTAACTAACCAGCCCACTTCAACATTCTCTCCAACCACTGAGGAGAATGTTTTCTTCCTCCTCAAATGCCAGATTTCCTTCTTTCCATCTTTTCCGCCCTGCACAGTGCTTTCTATCTCCATTGTATCTCTGTATTTTGTTTTGGTGGCTGTGTTCACTGGCTATTTTCCTTTTAAAGAGCTGTCCTCTAATTTGTCTGAGTACTCTAGTCCAATAAAACTGAGGCTGAGAGAGGGTTTGTGTGTGTTTACAAAAGAAAAGTCTCTTCCCACCCTCCCTGGATCTTTTCTTTATGCATAATGAAAACCAGACAACTATAAAGGGCCAGGCACACTGTTTTCTGACTGGTGAGTATAGGTAAAACATGAGAGATTGCAATTTATCATATGTCATTTGAAATATTCATTTGATGAAAGGGTTGGTGAATGGCTTTTTAAACATCTGGAGCAGTTCTGCTTCTAGGAAGCCCCAAAAGTGTACGCACAAAGGCATCAGCCCATCCCTGTTTTTTCTAGCATTGTCATTTATGGGAGGAAAATTTTCCATCTCTGTCAAAAAGCAAATCAAAACACTAAATAACTTTCCTTGTATTAAAGTGCTCCAACTCTTGATTTCTGTTTGTATGCACTTTTTTCAATGGGAGCAACAAATGTTTCGCAAGTTCTAAAAGGATCTGCACTAGTGATTATTTGAAGTTATTAATATGCTAGTAATTAAATTCTGTATTCCTTTCCTATTCTTAAATTTATTTCTTTATACAATCGCCCTTCTTTTTTCGCAAGGGATCCATTCCAGACATCCCACCCCCTGTGAAAATGGAAAATCACAAATATTTAAGCCCTGTTGGCTTGAATGGCAGCATGTGCCCCATTTTGTCCATTGTGTCCCTCCCTGCCTGCGAACGGGCAAGAATGTGGACTCCCAAGTCTGCAAAAACTGAGGGACGCCTGTAGTTGGTGCACTTTCACATTTAAACTCACACAATTATTCACTTTACACTTAGAATTTGAGTAACTATTTAAGTTCCATTTACTAGTATGAAGACACATGTTGAGCCCTACTTGAATAATTTCTCATTTTCAAATGTAACCACCTTATTTCTAATTTCTGATCATTATAAATTAATGGCATTTACCAAACAGGCTTTTGGAGGAATCCGTTGCTTTCTTCTATCAATAGTGCGAAGTGTTCATTTATTCCTGCTTCACTGCTTCATGTTTAACCAGTTACTGATTTATATGAAGACCTATCTTTTTATCTTGTGATAACTTTCTCTTGGATTCTGCTTTCTTGATTTGTCTCATGAACATCACATCTTGGGTCAGAACCTGGGGAAAGGTGGTGTTCTTTAGTTGTTCTATAGTTACGGTAATCTTATTTCCTTGCTTTAAATATATTTTTCTGGTGCTGTAACTTTTGAGCTGATATTTTTCTGTCTAGAGATTTTGATTGTTTTTCCTTCCATAGAGTTAGCATATTGCAGTTAGTGCTTGCTTTACGTAAAACAAAAGTGAGTATGAGCAAACCTGGAGGAGAGAAACAATTCAAAATCTGTAGATACTCAAATACTAAGTGACAAACATTTGGCCAACTGTTTCCATGCTATCAAAGAGACCACTGTTTTTGCAACTGTATCCTCTTCACAGTATTCTATACCATTCCTGGTTTTCTTGTATGTCATCTTGTTTGGGTTTTTTTTATGGGAAAATCCCTGTCTTTTATGTGAGACAACTTGCTGTATCTCTTTATTCAGCTCTTGTGCAAATCTCAAAAAGAGTTGCACCTAGTACAGCAGAACAAATTAGAATACAAACTGTTATCAAGAAAGGGGCACATGTTCAGATCTTACATCACTCTTCTTCAGAACATCCAGTGAAGAGGAAAAACTGATAAAAATTTGTACCTAAATTCTGTGGGGGCTATGACCACACTATGACCACACAATAGTACATTCTGACTATTGGCCGTTTCAGTTGTTCTATAGTTAGTCTTAGACTATCTTGAAAAAAAAAAGGCATTCTAAATCCACCCACCCCAAGCTGGTTGTTTGCTAAATTATTTGTATAGTGGTCCCTCAATATTTGCTGTGGTTAGGGGTAAAGGACCCCAGTGAATGTGGCAAAACTACAAATGAAAAAACATAGGAATCTCCAGGTCTTCCAGTGCAACTCTGTGGTCAATATCTTCCAGAATTTAACCACAGAATCTTGCTGGAGGACCTACAAGTGCCTAGAGAAAGTGTTTGGTCAACTTCCCACAGAGTTGTACTGAAGGACCCAGAGATTCCTAGAGAGAACATACTAATCAAAGCCGCAAATGTGGACGGCCAACTGTAGTTCTTCTGCTTATGAACATTTACTTTCCCCGTCTGTTGCAACTGAAGAATACCATTGCTTAGCATCCTTACAGTTTATGGAGATCTTTATTTTGTGGGAAAAATGGCAAAACTTCTCTATAATGGTTCAATCAATAAAAGAGTATTAAACTTACCTATGTGTTTGTGTCTTTTTTTCTTTTTCTTTTTTTGAGTTTCGACAGAGGTGTTACATCTGTTATGAAGCAGACATGGCAACTCAAGACTTCTGTGTGCTGTCAAAAATAAAAATTCATTCCTTCTGCTGTATCAAAACCTGGCTTATGTGTGAGTCATAGTAAGAGATGACCATATCAATAAACATGCTATCCAGACTGCTTCCCTATCAGGAAAGTGTGTACTGACTATCTTGGGAGTATGTCAGTGCTATGGCATGTGAGACGTAGCTGATGGTTCACATGTGCAAGCCCTTCAGGTAGATATTTTCCAATAGGATTCTTTATTTGCATGTATGACTGCTGAAAAGTCTATAGTTGGCATCATGTACACAATTTACATTTAAGATTATGATTTTGGGACAAACTGAATGATACCAACATTAGTTGTTTGGCTGGATGTACCATTGTTTATATTAATTATTTGGAATACAGGTGGTGTGCATCTGTGTTTAGTGTATGGATGGGAGAGGTATAGTTAGGTAATAAAATAGCCCCTTTCTATATAGAATTATACACAAATGCATGATTTATAGCTTCTCATTGCAAACTCATGGGATTATACTCAGGCCTCAATCCAATTGCTAGTCCCAGCTATAGAGGGGAATTTCAGCATCTATATATAGGAGTAAATACTTCATAATTTTGTAGATCATTCAGAGAATTTCGCTGAAAATTGCAGCCCATGGGGGGGATAGGAAATGCCTTTTATTTTCCTTTTAGAGTTTACTAAATAGTTACAATTTATTCTCACACTCACCTTTGTGTACAGCCCTTGTGTACAAATAGGGATTTGTTTATGTAGTAAGACAGCAGTAAATTTCAGCATACTACCATTCCTCAAGAACACTTGTGAGAAAAGAATAGTAAATTCACCTATACATGGGTCCACCAGATCTTGCACCACCTGTACTTGGCTTTTGAGAGCAATTTACTATAAAATGAAAGACCAGAAAAGTAAAGCTTTTAAAGCTGATTGACCTATTTATGTTTACAACTGTGTTGGTGGTACATTTGCATTTTTAAGAACTGAGTAGAGACTTAATCTTAAAAATTGCCTAAAAACTTGCAAAATAGCACATTTTGTAGGACTTTGTATTAGGCTGAGCCATTCTCTGTCCCATCACTCTCTTAGGCTCCTTGGGTGGGAATAAGAGAGGGCCTTTTTGGTGGCTGCTCCCAGGCTCTAGAACCAGAGGTGCCACAACAAGCTGCAGTCCCAGAATTCCATAGCATTCATAAACACAAAAAAATTCCATAGAAGTCATAAACTGAAAAAATTCTGGATGCGTATACATAACTCTATATGTGAAATATTAAACATCAAATATGAAATGATTCTAGAAACAACTAAATATGGTGAACAAAATTAACACAACCCCCTGCAAAAAGACACAGGAAAAATATTGAGATATATAGAGGAAAACAAATATACCAACAACAGGTGAATGGCTGCTAAAAGTACGAGATGTG